GCTCAAAGCCAGGCTGAACCACACAGACAGACTCTGTCTCAAAAAGCAACACCCCCCCCAAGGCCAGAGATGGGGTCTCATTTGCTTAGGCTGAGCTGGAATCTGAGATCCTCCTGCCTCTGCCTCCCAGAGTGCTGGGATTACAGGCCTGTACCACCACTTGGAGCCCAGCGTCTGCCCTGGCTCCCGGGTACATTTCAGCCACACAGACACGCCTAGCTCGCTAAATTGGAGTAGTAGCACTCAAGGCCAGGCATGGTGGCGCACACCTGTATTCCTAGCACTCAGGAGGCTGAGGCGGGAGCAGTTCCAAGCCAGCCTGGGCTTCATAGTGAGACCCTGACTCAAAACACAAACATAACGATGATAAGAGGCTGGAGCGGGGCGGTTTCCGCAGATAACAGGAAATGATCGGCCAAGAGGCAATTTCACCCCAACCAAAGCAGCTGTGGCGAGGTGGCGGGAGGAAAGCTTGAGACTGACATGCTCTAAACCGTGTCTGTGGGACACTCTGGGAGGCTGAAACAGGAGGATCACACGTTTCAGCCCAACCTGGGCAACTCAGCAATTTAGTAAGACCCTGTTTCAAAATTTTTAAAGGGTCGTGAAGCTCTGTGAAGGCCCTGGGTTCGATCCCCAGTGCACCACTCTCATGGTGACTGTTCTGGTGTAAGAAGAAAGGAAGGTGGCAGACATAGTGGTGCATACCTATAATCCCAGCACCGAGGAGGCTGAGACAGGAGGGTCACCAGGAGATCCAGGCCAGCCACCCTGTCTCAGAAAAAAAAAAATTAAAAATCAGAAAAAAAAGGGATGGAGGGGGAAGGAACGCTGTTCACAGCCACATCTTACACATTCAAAACCAAGGAACCCGGCCAGGCCTGGTGGGACGGGCCTATGTGCCCAGCTACTCCGGAGGCCGAGGCAGGAAGACCTGTGGTTGGAGTCCAGTCTGGGCAATTTAGCAAGGCCGGTTTTAAAAGAACGAAGGGCTGGGTGCAGCCCCAAACCGCCCGGCCCCTGCAGCCCCGTCTCCCTGCTGGACCTGCAGCTGGGGGCCAACCAGGCCGGTCCCACTGCGACAGGAAGCCCCACTGTGTGCACGAGCTCGAGCTTAGGAAAATCCAACTGGTGCTAGCAAAAGCTGCAGCCGAGAGAGATGCCCGGGCGCCTCAGCTTTTCTGGCCTGGGCCAGGCTTGCTCGGGTTATGTGTTTAACCTGCACTGAGGTGGCGTGCTGTCTTTTTCTTTTTGGTTTTCTGAGGCAGGGTGGAGCTCCAGCGGACCCTCCTGCCTCAGCCTCCCAGGGCCTGCCTCACCCAGGCTTCACACTCAGGCGTAAGCTCTGAGCTGTTCCTCAGAGGCCCAGGGAGCTGGGCTGAAGAGGAGGAGGTTGGGCAATCGGGGCGGGTGCCAGCAGCGCCTGCTTCCTGTCCCCAGGCTGAAGAACTGCGGCTGACACCCTCCAGCTTCGAACGGTTTCTGGCAGAGGTTTTTATGGAACCAGAGATGAAGAGAAAACAAACAGAGCACTTCTGAGAAATGTGGGAATTTTCCACTGTGACAGGCGCGTGAGAATTTCTTGTAAGTCTTGCGTGAGGTCAGGCTTTTTCCCTCTCTTCCCTTTATGGTTAGTTTCTAAATGAGCTCATAAGGCAGGAACTCCGGTCATCTGATTGCCAGTGTGGTTAACCTCGAATCCTTATTATTTTATTATGTTTCAATTTAAAAATTCATTCATTCATTTTGTTTTTCAGTACCGGGCACTGAACCCAGGGCCTTTGCACTGAGCTTTATCCTGGCCCTTTTTAGTTTTTAGTTTGAGAGAGGGTCTTGCTAAGTCCCTACACTGCTCAGTCTCAAACTTGCAGTCTTCCCGCCTCAGACTCCAGACCACCATGATTACCAGGCCTGGCCAGTTTCAAGTGCTGGGTGTGGAGGCACAAGGGTGGTCCCAGCGCTTGGGAGGCTGAGGCAGCAGGATCTCTGCCATTCAAGGCCTGGGCTGCATAGTGAGGCTGTGTCTCAAAAACCAAAAGCAAAAGCGAACTTTAAAAAGTGCCCACTGCCTTGTGATTCTGCGCCTGCGGTAGTCGGAGAAGGACACAGCCACAGGACCCACAGCGGACCAGCGGGTCCCACAGGCTGAAGGTGGTGGAGGCCTTGGCCTTAGAGGGTGAGGGAGCTTTCTGGGGTGATGAAATAGCCCTTGAACTTGTCTGTGGGGTGCCCCCAGCATGTTCTTTTATTTTTCATTTTCCCCTATGTTTTTGTCAACAAGCCCTGCATTTTAAAAGGCTGGGTTTTAGAGTATTTAAATTATGCCTAAATGAACTTGATTTCAACAGAAAAACACAGATGAATGGATAAGGAAAATGTACTTACACACAATGGAGCACTACTCTGTCGTAAAGCAGGATAAACCAATCATTTGTAGGTAAATGATGCACCTTGAGACTATGATATTAAGGGAAACAAATCCAACAAACAAGCTTAAATATTATGTGGTTTCTCTCATATGAGAAACCCAAAGTTTTGTTTTTTGAGACAAGGCTTGCTATGTAGCCCAGGCTAGCCTTGAACTCACGTTGACCCTCCTGCCTCAGCCTCCCGAGTACTGGATTACAGGCGCACGTTCAGCTCGTCTTGCCTTGTGCCTGCATCACACCGCCGCAGCTACTGCTATAATGTGCATTCTCCTGCCGTTTCTTAGATTTCCTGCCCCAGGGATCACATGATTTTTTCTGTCCTGTTCATTTGTCACCCTTTGGCTTAGCATAGTTCTTGGCACATAATGTCTGTTTTTAAGTAATTAAGTGAATAAGTAAATGAATGAGAAATCATTTTTATAGTTTTTTTCTCACTA